GGGGGGGGAGGGGGGAGGGGGCGAGAGAGGAGGTGTGTCAAGGGGAAAGCTAATTAGTTGATTTCGAGTAGTTTGAAACGCGAGGGCTTGTTTAATACAAAATTTATATATAAAATAGCATTATCGTTCGGTTCTTCATATTATTCTTACGCAAATATGAATGAATTGCAATAAAATTTCCCATATACGCGAGTGTGCGCGTGCGTGAATCGCGCGTGAACGAGCCAAATACGAAGTCAAAGACATAAGGAATTGTTTACGATGAAGTAATTCCTCTTGTTCTCGTATATGAGGCATCTTTTTATCTGGCGCACGTCTGTAAACTCGACTCGAATGGCAATTTTAATTTGGTTAATATTCAGTGATAACGTACGTGAGATATATTATTAAGATAGGTCGTCAACCAGATAGGTAATAAATAAATAATGGATTATTACGTGTGCTATTTGTAAACTGAAAAAGTTAATATAAAAAAAGAATTTTTTTTTTCGTTTGTTTTCTTTTTCTTTTTTCTTTTATTGTATTGTTTTTAATTGGACGACAGCATCTTCGCGTGTATTATGTGTTGGATTTAAAAGTCTTTGCAGCCCAATGGATTTGTCCAACAAACGACTCGTTATATAATTCATTGTCGTTTAGTAACGTATATTCGATGGCATGAATAATGCATTGGAAATTGCTAAGTTACGAATTCGAGATAATATTTCGGGAAGATGATAATTTACCAACAGTCGCCTGTATTATTTACAATGATAAATTTAACGTGGCATTGTATGGTTTTGCAGCCACATAATCATGAATTATTGACATTTAGCGCATTAAATTGTCTATTTTGTGGTGGGACATGGGATTGAATGGCGCGTCAGTTGAAAACGCGTGTGAAGCATTCAAAACACATAATATTAATTTCGGTTAATTTGCAATCTCTCTCTCTCTCTCTCTCTCTCTCTCTCTCTCTCTCTCTCTCTCTCACTCTCTATCAATCATTCTCCATAAGCGCGTCACTGTGCGCATTACGTTAAACATAAACTGTATATTGGCTATTTATTCGCGGCGATAATATAACTATGATTTTGGAAATAAATAAAGTAATAAATTAATAAATAAATAATTAAATACATAAATATCGGGTCAGAGTGCGTGTAAACATGCAAAAGAAATTATATTTCCGCCTCAAATACGTACGCTGCGTACACGCCTGTCAAAGTGGATAATCATTTAAAGGAGCAGGCGATAGTGCATCTTCGTTATTGAAAAAGGCAAAAGAGGACGGAAAAAAAGTATAGAAATAGCGAGAAATATTTCTCGACCTTCCTCATTATACATTCCTATTTGTTAGTTGTAGGACGGCCACGCGGTGGAGTGGCGCAATTTACATAAATAAATTACGAACTGTGCCATTTTGTGCACAGCAGGCGGAACAAGTGTGCGGCCGTTGCGTTCCATTATGCAAGACTACGATTACCCAGCTACGCGACAAAAGTGAAAACTGACGTGTTCCTCTTAGCTCGAGAGGAAGAGTCCGCCTTTCGCTCTTTCTTCTTTCTTTCTCTAATCGAGCGCTATTCCTTGCACTAGCCTCATACTTTTTGATAACTGTTTCATTGGCAGGTGGGACGTTTTGAAATTGGAGGATTAGGTGGAGGGATGCCGTGGCAAGGATGGCTGCAGCGAAACATTCTCCCGGGCATTATTAAAGCCCGACAACGGAAACTTCAGCGATTCGATGATAAAGTCATTGCTGACATTATTCAACGCCGTATGAACTTGAAAAACGACTTGCGGCCGAGAAATGTGTTTTACCGCTCTCGATTTAAGAACGCGAGGAAAGATCGTCAAGGTAAACTTTTTCATCGGGCGCCTTGTTTATTTGTCCGTAATATTAATTTTAATATTTAGCAGCGCGTCATTCGCATTATTAGAGCACTCTAGATAGCGACAATAATAGAGTTGTTTACTTTCAAGAGATAATGTCGCATTTTTCTATATAGAATGCCGACAACCTTAACTCTATTGACCTTATAAAATCTTGTTTAACCGAGTGGAGAAAATTTTTCATGCTGCATGCGTGCTGCGAGCGTCTCGTTAAATTGTGTCATTATGCATTGGAATTGGGAATGTTTGGAAATGGTGAGACGGGGAGCGGAATGGGGGGATGAGGGGGGGCGGGGATATGGGAGGGTTGGGATAGGGAGATTGGGCTAGACTATTCCAAGTGGATCGAGTCACTAGATCGCTCGAGGGGAGGTCCGAAGATCCCCATTGTTCTTGTAGGATTATCGGGAGGATGGGAGGCCCGGCTTTACCGTTCATGTACACGTGATGCTGGCGCCAGAGATGCTGGTACTGCGTCCACCTGCTGCTGGCGCTGTCCTCGTGCAGGGAGGGCAGTGGCACGTGGATCTGGTGGGCGTGCGTCGTCGGAGGCATTGGTTGCTGCTGTTGCTGTTGCTGTTGCTGTTGCTGCTGCTGCTGCTGCTGCTGCTGCTGCTGTACAGCGTGGGCCGGGGCGACGACACCGTGAGGATGGGGCTGCGCGGGGGCTGCCCCCGATTGTTGCGATTGTTGTGGGTGGTGCGCCGGGTGAAGGATAGGGCCGGGCACTGGCGCCGGTACCAGCTGCTGGTACTCCATCCTTAGACCGGGAAGGATTTACTTGGGAACGGGCTGCTGACGGCTCGTGATATTGGCACGTGTAAGGGAGGGCACGGGCCCCTCAGACCGTCATTTAACTGTGCTCGCGATCCTCTACAAGCCCGTGGGCCTAGCCCAAGTGGGTCATCGGGCCGCGCCCCGGAGTCGGATGGTGCGGGCCGAGCCAAATGATACGCGTCGACTGTCGGAGGATCGAACGACGGAATAGGCGAGGAATGTGGCTGCTACTCTTCCGCTGCCGCTGATCGCTCACCGTGTCCTTGAACGACGTCGGCGTCGGCGTTATTATCACTCTCACTCGCGTGCGCTCGCTCGTGAGCGATCCGCGCATTCGATTACTACCGTTCTCGTCGTCTCTGCAAGTGCGTTGGTGCGTGCGTGCGTGCGTGCGTGCGTGCGTGCGTGCGTACGTACGCCTGCACAATATATTAGAGTTATCACACAGAGTAAGGGAGAGACGGGCACAGTGGGAAGAAGGGAGGGAGGGCTGAGAGGATGAAAGAAAGAGAGATAACGGGAGGCAGAAATGGATAGATAATAGATAAATAGATAAATAAATAAATAATGATAGATAGGAAGAGAGTGAATGAGTGATGAGGTGAGAAGAGGAGCTAGGATGGTCTAGTAGAGAATCAGGAAAAGAGATAGATAGGCAGACAGATAGATAGATTTGGTGAGGAGTGCGGGGAGAGGGGAGAGGGGAGATAGAGGAGAGTGGAGAGAGAGGAGAGGAGAGAGAGAGAGAGAGAGAGAGAGAGAGAGAGAGAGAGACGGAGAGTATGAGAGCGAGAGAGAGACAGAGAGATAGAGAGAGAAACGGAGTGTGTGTGTGTGTGTGTGTGTGTGAGAGAGAGAGAGAGAATGAGAGCGAGCGAAAGGGAGAGAGAGCCGTAGGTTCGATTTCACAGTTTTCGGCACGCCGGATTATAATCCAAGTAGTGTTATTATTGCACTAGACTCGCTTAACCAGTCGCACTCGCCAATCATATCCACACCATCGTCATCGCCGTCGCCGTCATCGTCATCATCATCATCGTCGTCGTCATCATCATAGTCATCGTCGTCATCGTCATATTCGTCGTCATCATTATCATCATTATCATGTGCATGCTCATCATGGTCATCGTTCAAATTTATCCACTTTTTCTTCGTCTGCCTCTTCGTTGTCTTTCTCTTCCTCGTTTTACACACAACATGCACGTACGGAGGCCAAGTACCCGGAGTTATCAAACGGTCGATTGGTAACACGTGCGGGACCAGCGAGTGTCGCCGTGTCCCTACCCAGGCGACGAGCCGCTGGTGCTGGTGGCACTGCCGCCACCGTTTGCTGGTGCTATTGTCGCCGCCGTCGCCGCTGCTAACTTTGCTGCCGCTGTTGCTACTGCTGCTGCTGCTGCTGTTGCTGCTGGCTCACACGTGACGTACGTCCGAGCACGTCGTCGCGACGACTGTCAAAAAGCGCGCGCGCCTCGAGTGCCGCGCACACGTTGCCACCGGCATCAGAGGTGGGGACTGCGGGAAGTCGGTGCGCGCTGGCGGAGAGGGTGGCGGAACGTCCGATTGGTGCCCAGACGTTGGGCGCCGGAAGGGGATCGGGTGGGTGGGATGGAGAGAGGGAGAGAGCCGCCGAGAGAGTTGGCTGCGCGACGGTCGGGAGAGGCAGAGCGTGTGCGATCGTGCAGGTCGACGAGAGAGGCGGAAGTCGGACGTAGAGAATCGGAAAGCTTGAAAGCCGAGCGCTTGAGAGAGAGGGAGTGAGAGGGGGAGAGGGAGGGGTGGAGGAGGGTGAGGGGAGGGGGGGGGATAGGGAGAGTCAGTGAGAGTGAGAGGGCGAATGAACGAGCATGGAACGGTGCGGCCTCAACGCTGCGGTTCGGACTATCGCGGAGCTGCGGGAGAGTTGGACGGTGAGGAGTTTGGTGGTGTCAGTGGTGTCGGTGGTTTGGGGGTTGGGGGGGCGGGGGTGACGTCGAGTAGATAAGGAGCAAGTACCGAAAGACGCGACAGGTTTCTCTTTCTACTAGTGGCAGGCTGTCGGCCCCCGTTGATTAGCCTTCCTTACCTCGCACTCACTCTCTCTTTCGACTCCTCCATGACCGATTCTTCTTCTACACACTTACTGTTTCTATATGCGATAATATATAAAAAGACTATGCAAGACTGTATCTTGCTGGACAGTGCCGTACTTGTATCGTCTAATGACCTATTGTTTATATTCCCATTAGAGAATAATTCAATATTGTCGCTATTGAGTTTTAACGTCTTTACGTCGGTTGCTGATAATTTTGTAGCGTGGTTAGTATTCATGATTTTTCCATTACTATTTATATACTTGTCGAGCTGACAGTCATACTTTCTTATTATCTTCGATAGAAAGTAATTTCTTCCTCCATCCTATTTCCCGAAATTTTCTCGCAGATCTCGCACGCGTTCGTTGCTAATTCAATTGCATTGAAACGTTTGGCATGCTTGTGCGAGCGGGACAAATTTTTTCTTTTCTTATTTTTTTTTTTTTTTTTTTTTTTTTTTTTTTTTTTTTTTTTTTTGTTTTTTTCTTCATTTTCGTCGTACTTGACCCACAAATGATGGATCGATTAGGCTAGATTTCATGCTCCCCGCATGAAAATTGATAAACTTATGGAGTTTAATTGATATTTATATGATAAACATCGCTTGCTAATTATTGCAGCTGCAATTTAATTTAGAATCTTCAAATGGAGCGGGCATTGGGAAATATTTGAAAAACGAGAGGTATTTAGCATTGGAAGAGGCTTAATTGGTAAATAATTCCTTTCTTCTCGTGCTTTTCAAATAATTGATTAATGTCGATTGCTAAATGTTATTTGTAATTTAGCTGAGCTGACAATCGTAGAAAATACGAATTTAATTGTCTACTCCGAGCTATGGGATCGCGAAGAAAGCTTGGGATGTGTACTTTTTTATAACAAAGGAGACGTAAGAAATTCCATTCAATTGCAATTTTATAGTGACATTTATTTTCACAACGGTATACATTATAACGTCATCGGCGTAACGAAGCAACCGTTTCGACGCCATATTTCTTACAATATTCTCCAGAAACCAGACTCGGAAGTCACTTAAATTATTCCCTATGAAATTCCTCTTAAAATCACAAGTAAAGTAACTGTATCAATTAGCGGGAGATTATGATAGTCACATCGTATCATTGATTGGAATTTAACGAAAACCTTCTACAATAACAACTTTCACAGCTCGACCTAGCATACCGATAACTCGTCAATAAACGCTCATAATTACAAAAAAATGCTCCTTCTTGTTTATTTAAAATAGCAATAATGTTGATTATAAGCATTTGCAGGAGATCGACTTGTTTGTGATTTCATGAATTCCCAGATTATTTAAATTAAAGCGACAGTCTACGTAAGAAGAGAAAAGAAAAGAAAAACATCGTACAATTAAAATCCCGAAATAAAATTTATCCATTAATTTTAGCCAACTAATAATTATATTAATTGCCTTTAGAAATTTTCTTTAAATGTACTTTCATGTAAATAGCTGATCTAATATTGGGTAATTACTTATGTATCGATGAATATTTGTAAAGTAATCGATATAATGACATTGCGACAATACTAATTAAGTAGATCCTCGTATGATGAAAATTAGATTAGCGCCGATATTTACGAGTTGATTTTACATTTGCATTTTAGTACATGAAGCTCTGGGGGCGCTTTATTGTAACAAGCGAATTAAAACTTGGATGGCAAACATTAGAGTTAATATATTGATTTTTCAAACATCAACGGAATTGCAAAATACTCTGCTCAATACCAAATACGAGGCGCGATGTGTTGAATAATGCGCCTGGAACATGGTGCTTATCAGCCATTAATCAAGGATCTTGTATATTTTCAAAACCAATATAATTTATAAGCTCGATTGACGCGTCAAGTCTTGTTGCGAGTCGTCGGAAAGTAAGGGCAGACAAATGCAGGCATAAGAGCATCCCGAGGGACGGCAGCGACGTGCGCGTCTGTGTACGAACTTCAGGTGTGCCAACATTTACTGGTAAATTACAATCTATCTTTACACTCCATCTCCCTATCCAGGCTAAATTGACACTCACTCATATTATTAATAATAATAATAACAACAACGACAACAACGACAACAACAACAACAGCAACAACAACAACAACAACAACAACAACGACAAAACTACGGCGACGTCGTTCGGCGCGTATATTAAGGCTCGAGTGGGCTCTCGGAGGATTATTAAGGCGCGAGAGAGCGTCTTCCGCGTTCTCCGCACGCTATCGCATGTACACGCGAACCGTTTCGGTGTGCACGCCCACGCATTAGTCTACTGGACTTCGGGGCTCGAGTATGGGTGAGCGAGAATGCGCGGGAGGCCGAAAGAATTTTCGCTGCCGCGATGGACTCCAGGAGAAAGAGAGACCGACGAAATGACATCGAAATTTGAAGAGTCTCGGTACTATTGCGATTGGAAAGTATAGAGAGTAAATTATATCTATTCGGAAGTTTCGATATGATTGTAAAGGAATCAATGGATAAGCAATGGCATTTATTTTTACCAATGCATTTAAGAATCGTCAATCATTTGAATTATTTAGTAGTTCGATTATCAGTGCATTTCAATTACATTAATTCCATGGTAAATTCGAGTACGACGATTCTTTGGTTTCTATAAAATAAAAATTCGAAATTATATTCACGTATTATTATGACTAAATAGAATAGTATGTGAGAATAGCGAGAAGCTCAAGCCTTTCATATAAAATGTGTCGATGCAACGCAGAGGATTAACGGAGTTTCATTTCTAAGGCTAAGCGAATCTTTATTTAAATTAATAGAAACTGAAATGTTTTTAAATGTTTTATGAGATTAATCTTTAAACGTGAATTATTGAATTTTCTGCTTCACTATAAATTAATACTTGATACTTTTTTCTTTTTCTTTTTTTCACTTAGAGTTGATGATTTACGTTATCATTGATGATAGAGCGGAAGTAAAGACTCTGATCGGCAATGAGGATCGCTTGAAACGAACAGATTTTTACTGAATTTAACATTCTGTAAGGTAAAAGAATATCAACCATAATAAAATGAAGATACGATAATCGAAAATAATTATCGGTTCGATTCTTCATTAATAATAAAATAAAAGTTTTTGGAAAATTATGTCTTATTGTCAGTGTTGCTTTGCAACCTACGACGATTAATTTTTCATAAATATTCATACTACAATATAATAATATTTTTCATAATATCTGCGTTACTTTTTATGCGATTTATTTGTATTTTAAATTGAAAATTTTACAATATTAACATCATTCTTTTACAACTAATTATCGAATTTC